CTTAAGGTCGAAGGCTCCGAGTGTGGTCCTCCAAAAATCCACCTGCTTTTGTTTGGGCACCCGTGCCGTTTCACAGCCCACACATAATCCAAATCACTTGTGTGGCGCATATGTATTTGGTGCCCCTTTGTACCAAAATTTATATGTTCAAATAAATAAATAAATAAATAAATAAGAATTAATAATAAGTTATTATTTCTGTAATTTAGAATTGAAAATACAACATATTTCAACGAAATCAATTTTTATCAACAAGAAATATAGTACTAAAATAGAAATCAGTAGATAATTTCATTTTAGCCAGTTCACCTACTTTCTTATTCAATATACTTTTATTTAAAAACAAAGAAAACTGTTACACCTAACATCATGAAATTTAGTTAGTTTAATTACATAGTTTACTCATGATAATCAGATAGTTACTTCGAAAATATCCATAGGCAAAAGTTTTACGTCACTTGTTATTGTTTACTTGAATATTCCGATTGATGTTTAGGACTAGAATTGATCAATTGCAGTCCTAAGCATCAACGGTAAAATTCAAATAAACAATACCAAGTGAATTTAAACTTCACCCAATCGCACATGCAAGTGGCTATCTGGACTCAGTAGCTAGGTAGATAACGCGAACGGTAATGGATTCAAGTCCCAGAGTGAACATCAACTCTGAGATGCAGGTACATCTAGCTGACGAATCCTCAATAGGACAAAACACGCGTCCTTGATTCGACTGCTAGCCACTATCTATTCTTGCCTAACATGTTTTAACGAAGCAGTTTCGATGTTTTGTAAAAAAATAATATTAACAATTCCGGGTATTTGAAAGGTTATACTGAATTAATCAGTGTAAATTTCATTGAACAAATCGACTGGACAAGTCTTCCATAAAAAAGCAAAACAATATTTTTATCATTTTCATATTATCTAATTATTCTGTTAAATTAAATGTAACTATAGTGCGAATGAATATCTTAAAATCGACATATGTATTATTTAGGACGTATTTGTATACAGCACAATTATCACTGAACATGAAAAAATATAAAGAAGAAAATTACCTTATGATGTAAGTGATCAACAAGCTGCATTATTGAACTGAGATAGGATTCTACAGAATATATTAGAAAAATAAAATGGAAATATTTACAGTGGTGCGTAATTTAGATTTAGTTTTATCCCAAGTGATATCATCAGAAGATCCTCTAGGAACTAGAGCGCACAGGAGAGCTGTTTTTTTCTATCTTAAAATAATTTAAATGTGCGCATTCATTAATGATTTAAGCAGTGAGCCAATGACCAACTATTGGTGATACGAAGCCTTTAAATTGAAGAGAGGAACTTCACTGATCTGAGTGTTGAGCTTAAATAGCTTTTTTAAAGCGGTTTTATATAAAAAGCACAGTACTACGAAACTTCAGTGATTTTTTAGAACCATTAGAGAGATCGAAAGATACCGTTATGAAGTGATCAATGATTATCTGCATTAAAATAGTGACATATTTTACTAATCAAACTTCATGAAAGTAGTTAACTTAGCAAAGTTAGTACTCATAATAGAAAATCAATTCATTCTAGATTGTAAATATGACTTTATCGAAATTTAGTTGTAATAGCAAATGGATTATTTAAATTTGTGCCAAAATTTAGAATTTGTTCATTGAGACTGATGATAAATGTTAAGTCATTTTGTTATAACTTATACGTAACTAATCTGTTCAAAAAGAATTATAATCAGAATGAAATTTCTGGAGATTGTAGTAAAATTAATAGTTCAATTCATATGTCGACGTAAGTTAGACCACCACTGAAAACCTAGTATGGGATTCCTCAACGGTCGTCCAGTTCTTTCAGGTTTTCAGTAGAGATCTAACTTACATCGATTGATGAATTCAACTATCAAAAAAAAATATCATCCGAAATATTCTATCGTAGTTTTCAAGTACTTGATGTGTTTTTTTCTCAGATTAAAAATAATCATCACTTTTTCATGGTATTGTCTGACAGCAGAGTTTAGACAAAACTTTACAACAAACGAATAATAAAAGATTTATAATCCGATTTTCATTAGTAGAAACTTCTAGACTTTTTTTTAATTTTCTAATTATATCTCATTTTGTGATTCATTTTGTTTGCTGAAATTCTAATTTTAATCATAAATCTTTTTTTTTAAATTAAAAGTTGAACATTTATTGTATGGAATGGATATTTTACTGAATAAGTAAATCATTAGTTTTTGATGAATTACTAACTTTTCATTTGGAGTAAACAAGGAATTTAAGAATCAAAATGTGAAACAAAAATTGTGGTTTACTATCATACTATTGTTTGTCATATATTAGAATAACTGGACTAAGATGGTGGTTGGGGATAGTCAGTAGGAAACACTGAAACTAGGTTTCGTGCTACTTGGCACTCGTCATCAAAGTGTATTTGTAATCTTGACGGAACTGATGCTGTCTAATGAATTCAATCCCGTATCATCCAGCTTCAAAGGCAGAGATGTTACTACTGAGCTATCTGGGCCGCGAATGACCTCCTGTAGGACTGAGATGTGTTTACGATTGATTGGTCACCGGATCTCTGACTGTGAACCCAGACGACACCGGATCGAATACGTCAGGGAGCATCAGTTTCCTCAAGTTTACAGATACACCTTACTGATGAGCGCCAATTAGCACGAAACTTAGGTCCAGGGTTTCCTGTTAACTACCTCCAAACACCATCTTATCTCAACATAGTGCACGCAATGTCTAGTCACCTAGACCAGTGGCCACATTGCAACTTGGTTGGTAGTACTCCATCTGTACCAAGAAGAACCTGACCGAAAGTTTTGTGTTCAAATCCCTCGAGCGGGATTGTGGATGCGTACCGCTCAGTAGTCCCACAATAGGACGAAACGGCCGTCCAGTGCCTTCAGTTTTTCAATGGTGGTCTAACATCACTCGGTTCATGATGTCAATCAAAAAACTTAATAATCTACACAACCCCATACTGATGTTTACCTAATTAATTAGTCTCCATTGTCTGAACTTTTAGAGTTTAAAGATACTATACAGCACGAACCAACGTAAATTGGGAAACTATTGAAAATCTAGAGATATTGAATAGCCATTCTTCGATGTCTAGAAATTTTCAGCGTTATATGATCCCTTCAATCAATAAGTTAAGGAATTCTATTGATCCAACTATCTAATATAATTGAAAATGACTGACCATTTGTTTTTTTTCAAAAAAATTCGGCTTCAACTGTATACAACAAATTATTATCACATCATAAAACTAATAACTATACTAATTCTATTATTGAATAGCTAGTCATGCAGGAAAGTGATGGTTGACTTATCGTGATTAGTTTTTACGGTTAATGGGTCAAGTTGAATAGAACTGATCCCAGCCAAATATGTTGGTAAATCTCTTTCATAATTTTATATGTCTTACTGAATATTGTTAAATTTGATCGTATTCATAGCTTATGAAAATTGTAAAATATGAGAAATAGGCGTACCAAATGTTTCATAGAAACATAAAAATATGACTTTCTTCATTTAAGTAGTTACATCTTAAATCTAAGGTTTTCACTAAAATCTGTAGATAGTCATCATACACTGACTTATTTAAATGATCTTATTTCAATATTTTCTGACTGATATCATTTCTCCGTATGAACTATCATCTAACCAAACAAATGAAACTATCAATATGCATAAATGTTTTGCTTATCTTCAAACTACCATTAAATGTTTATTTTTAATCTCAAATAACGATTCATTATGGAGGAAAAATAACACAGTTGTGTAATAAACCATTCAAATGTAACCAGTAATCAGTCATTGAATTGTACATAATATTTTTATAATAACTAATGAACCATGAATATTTATGACTTGATGACAGACTATAACGTTTTGATTTTCTGCCTCCAATAACTATTAATAGTTTTGTTATATGTGATTATCTTGCGACATTGAAACTTTCGTCTAATTATGTGTTGTTCATTAGTCCATTATTTATAAAAAATCAATCATAACTCTAAACAGTAATTTGAAGGTACCTATAAATTTCTGCTTGAATACTTTGTCAAGAAAAATCTAAAAAAAATTTAACTTTAGAATAATTAGTTGAGATACAAGTTTGTTAGGTATAAAAATGCAGGTAATTACAAATTTGGATTAATTATCCGGAAGTATATGTTCAAGGATTTGAGAAGAAAATAGCTATAAGTAACTAATTTTATGAATGAGTATACCTTTCTGTTCCTATTACGAATATTAAGTAGCTCAGCGTTTAGTAAAGATTTATACTGACATATTTTATTTAAGAAAACAAAAGAACATAAACTACATAAGCATTTTAAGCAGAATTGGACAGGTTCTAGCAGCGGAATCGAACAGATTATACAAATGAATCAAAACACACTCCGTTTCGCGAATGGCTCGGTACTTCAAGAGATAACGCGTTTTTTTATGTGAAAGGTGCTGTTCTCAAGTTCCAGTGTGAACCTCAACATTATGTTGAAGAGTCCGGAATAAGACGAAGTGTGTGTCCTGAATTCCACTCCTGGAAACATTCTAATTATTTCAATTTAACTCATATATTAATGGCTGAATAGAGGCAGTCCTCATATACCAACCAAAACTGATCAAATTTCACTCAAAATATTAATAACGTGATAATCCAAACCATATACAAATTGAATTAAATCTTATACCCGTCCCATAACAGAGTGACTGGATAATGCGATGGTGGTTGAAACATACAGTACTAGGTTTAACTCTTGGAGTGTGCATCCACTTTGGGTTCCAGGTACATCCTGCTGACGATCCTCACATAGGAGGAAACATGCGCTCTTTTTTTTACACCTAGACTTCATCCAACTACGGAACAATGTTTACAGGATGTACATAATCAGAAAGCAGCCTATTGATCGAGGTCCAAAACATAAACAGGAAGATTCAAACGACCAATGCAAATGAACTTTACGAGTTTTTGTATGTAGCAATGGAAGCAAAGAAATAAGCTACTCATTGACTTAATATGTATTTCTTCTTCATAAGTTACTTATGGTCACTGAGTCTCAGAAGGCAGAATAAGTTACGTATTGATGATAAAGCCAACCGTAATCAACATTTGGTGATCAGTGACAACCAACTTATTTGTTTACTTTTGAAAACAATCTATTTTAATTTAGGATAAAATATGGAAACAAAATACATGGAATAAATTTGTAGTATTAAGGGCTGTTTCAAAAACATTTATATAATTTACACTTGGGGCTGAATACAGATAGTCCATCGATGAAAGTCAGAAAATGTCAGATAGTTTTTTCAGCCTAGGTGTTTTCGAACGTATTCATCTATGACGTCTTATAGGTTAGAATATATAACCTTCAGGTTTTGAGTTAAAGACTGAGCTGTAACCCAGTGTTCAGTATTTTAAGTTAACTCAATCCAGTATCTACAACCATTCTGAATAATCTATTTTGACTTCTGATTTGGATCACGGGTCCCTCTTATAAAGTTGTCGTGCCCAAAGCATGTCCTGTTGATATGTGCTTAAATTCTACGTACAGGAGTATCTTCTCACTCTTGTAATGTTCTACACCATGATAAACAACTGTTCTGTGGATTTTTTTGCTTTGCACTCGTTTCATAACCCATGGGAGTTTATTAATTTCTCAACTTTCAAAATGTACACTAGACAGTCAATATGTGATTTGACATGAACTTTAAATAACAAATTTTAAGTAGTCGATTATATCAGGTTGAACTAGTATAACTGTGTTTGTTGATCACTATGGATTTTATCTTAACCAATAAACAAAACTTTTAGGTGAGACTATAACTTATGGACAACCTTTAAGTGATGGTTAAGTAACCTTGTAAATGTCCATTTACTTACTAGGGTTAAAAATTGGAGTGAAAACCTAAGACTTGTATTTACAGTTGGACGTTAGGTTAAGAAATTAAAATTAAGGTTCTCATCAGGAACTGACATTAACTATAATGATTTTTATAAATTATCAGATAAGTAGAAAGCTATCATGTATTGATTTTGAAAGAAATATATTAATTAGCTAATTAGCAGATATAAATAAATAAGTTATATTACTCATGTATGTATCAGACACTTCTCAGTTTAAGGCGAAGAGAATTAGCGTGATATCATTGAAAAGACGTAATAATGTACAAAACGATGTCATACTAACTTTTTAAGAAAAAATTAATAACCACTCGCATTTTATTGCTGAAAATTCAAGTCAGAGGGACAACAGAAATATAAAACGTCCACAAAGATCTATTAACACCCCGAATTTTAAGTTTCTGTCAGCTGAAGTATAAGGTTGTATGAGATTCCATATATATTCTGATTTTCCAACATAGAAGGGACTGCTTTCACAGTATTTTCGGTATCCATGTGGTTGTACCGCAGAATTAAGCTATATTGTTGAGGTTGTGAGTTGTATGTATGACTTCTGGTTCTCCTGAGAACCAGTGTAAATTACAGTCATTCACGATATATTTTTAATTTTAATTTGTGTGTCCGAGAAATAGTTTACATTATCTCTACGAAAGTTTCTAGAAAATTATTTTCCAATCACGATTTTAACTATCAACATATTCTGTCTTATTATTACAATTTCAACTTGATAAATATTCTAGCTATACAATACATGTTACTACATTTTTATGAAAAATGACAGAACATATGCACTCAATTACCCTCAGTATATCTAAACTACAGTTTTCACTGTTATTACACAACCCTTATACATTTTTCGATCTAGGTTCATTGAATATATACTTTAATTTAAAAAAGTTCCACTCATTCATGTTTATCTCAACTGTGAAATTTCAAAAGAAATGAAATGAAAAATTCATTTCAATAGTTGAGATCATGAGTCAATTGAAATTAGACTACCATGATAGACCTGGAAGCACTGGACGGCCGTTTCGTCCTATTGTGGGACTCCTCAGCAGTTCTCATCCACGATCCCGCCTTGTGTGATCGGAACCCAGGACTTATCAGTCTCGCGCCAGACGCTTAACCACTAGACCATTGAGCCGGCCGGCATCCAACGGTGTTAATGTCTAACTTCAACTAATCCACGAAATTGGGCGACACATCCACCATTGTCATCAGTGAGTTACTATCTCACAACTGACCCGGTTGAACTCCACTGGTCACTGTTTCTCACTAGAACTCCAGGAGTGTCTCTTGAAGCCATTCACTAGTGAGCATATGTTGATTAGTATCAGTATCAGTATTGACTCATGATTTCAACTAATGAAATTACTAAAATCTCCACAAAACCCCTTCTGAAAGATTCACCATCTAATCATTTAAATTCTTCAATAGTACCATTTGTAATGTCGATTATTATGTTAAGCTTTTGGACAGGTCAATCTATTCATTCTAATTGAGTTACATTTTGACCTTGTTAATCATTCATTTGACTGTTTTTATATACACTACTTATCCTGCTCACCACATGTCTGTAGCATATTTTTGTGTGACTATAAATATTGGTTAACGCTTGATTAAATAAAGTTAGCTCACAAGTCTTCTCCACTGTGTGTCATTTTGCTTCGCTCTCTATTATTCGCTTCATACTTCTGATTTTCTGTCCAGATCAGTGAGTATACATAATATACGTATTCGAGATCCATTCTCAAATTTGACTTATTTAATTCCGTTACTCACTAACGCGATTTAAGTCGATAATTATATATGAGGATTAGCAGCACGTACATTTTGATAGCAATCAGCAAGCGATTAGTATATACGACATTTGGTGACATGTGAACTTCAATAACAATCATTCATACGATATAATGGAGTCAAATTTTGGGACACTAAACATTTATTAAGAAGATTTCCTCTAACTTTTTAATCATTTGAATCATTAATTTTAATCACCATGAAAATTGTTATGTCCCGAAAAGCATAATGAATGGTAACTTTTGGGATCCATTTATGGACAGATACTATGCATGTGTTTTTTACCAAATAATTGTTAAATAACTAAACTATTCATATTCATATACCTCTTATTATGAGATTCATTTTGACCTATGAACTATTATTATACGATTTACCATTCTTGAATTATGCCCTGTCTATCAATTACTACCTCACTCATTCACAGCTACATTTGGCTATTTCTTGTACAAATGTTGTTTCGTAATTTATGATACGGTGTGGTCTGTCTGGTTGGTATATAAACCCAGTATGTTTGAAATAAATGATTCATCTTGCATAGGGTGAGGTTGGTGTTGTGGACTTAACTGACTAGACTAGACGGAAAGCAGGACCGATCAGGACTTTGGACTGCTCGTATGTGTATTATGCGTCATAGGTCCGATCGATAATTCACTGCTTTCTAATTGGCGGTATCGTTATGTTATTTAATAAACAGGGCACACAGGTCACAATTTATAACAAAAATAATTTATGCACACATGGTTATTTCATAACTCTATTATACAATGATAACAGTAATAATTACATGAGATTTAAATGATTCTTTTAAAATTTACCATGGAAAATCTTCACAAAAAAAAAAACGAAAAAGAAAAAAAAACTCAGTTCATTCATACTTTCTTAAAATATTTCAGTTTGTTTTTACTGTGATTTCTATTGAATATATTTTGTTAAGATTAAATACTGTATATCAAAAGAAGAAGAAGAAAAAAAAAGAAATCCTTTTTTGTAAATAAAATATTTGTAAAGTGCTTCTTTTCTTTTTTCTTTTTTTTTCTTTTAATTATGCAATACATAAACTGTTACATAAATATGATTGGATGTTTTTAAAAAAACAATTTTTCATTTCGTAATCACATCTTTTGTTTCATTAATTTTGTTGTTTTTTTTTTTGTAATAAAAATATTACAAATATTAACTTACTTCTTTTCATTTCTGTATACACATAATACTGATTGAATTATACATTCTGAAATTTCTTTGTTTAACGATAATAATAATAATAATGATAATAAACAAACAACATGAGATTTCACTTGGTTTAAGACAACTAAACGATTATGAATTATGAATAGTGATGTCTAAAAGTTCAATCGTTTAATAGAATGATAATATTATTTAACTGGACATGGTTTTTATCTGATACAAATCTTTGGGAAATGATTATTTGCAGTACTATCATTGTTATTGATATTATTATTATTATTATTATTAGTAGTAGTAGTAGTAGCTGATATGAGAGTATTCGATTGTATATGATCAATTTTTGGCTCAGTTATACTTGCATTAATAGGATTAGGGAAAGTATTTCGTAATTCAACAATTTGTCCTTCTAAATTATCTAATCGTTTAACAATTTCATTGATTTGTTGACTAAGTTTTATATGGAAATTATCGAAACACTTCTCAATGTTTAATTCAATTCTATGCAAATCGTGACATGATATACTTGGTGTTAGATTAGTAGAATTAATTGCAGACATTGTTGTTATTGTATTTATTGATGTTGTATATGATATTAGTGTTTGTGTCGTAACAATTATGGGATTTTGATCTGTAGTTAGTGGTACAACTGTCGTAACTGGTGTAGATGTAATGTTTTGATCATCCGAAGATTTTGTAGGTAGCTGAATTTTTGACAAATTTTTTACTTGTGTTGGCGGTAAACGGTTTGAATCTTCATTTGGTTCTTCATTTAAATTATGTAATGGTGGTTGTGTCGCTCTATTAATAAACAATAAAAATTGACAAGATAATTATACTTAGGCTCATGGTGAGCATTACTCATGAGTTGTTAATTAAGATAAAAGATTCTTCTAGTATATCTTGGTTTCAGGTGACGGCACTGAGTAATAGAGTTCAGATTTCGATACTGTAGTTCATTTATTTACTTTAAACATTACAAGTAATATAAAATAAAGTTAAATAATAGACAATGATGAAGCACGTTTGAGAAAGGAAATGAATAGTGTCATTTGAAGATGAATAATAATCGTAGATTGCTAGTAAGTTAATAACCAAAAACTTTGTTTATGTACAAAGGTTGAGAGTGAGGTGACAGATTGTCGGTAATTCTGTAAAAGTACAGACGTCACTGATTGGAATTCTAACCACCGTCAAGTAACTGACTAGTAAACTAGCGTTATTGAATGTCGAAACCACTCAGGTAGCAGTACTTGCATGTATAAGACAGCTAGTTTCACGGATACATATGAAGACTGTACTGATAAGCAGCATCACGTCTTACATTGTTAAATTCTGTTGTGTTCAGATGGTTTCCTAGTTAGAGCCTATAAATTTTCCTAACAAGAAGGAACTAAGAAAGATCATTTGTTCAAGCCAGACCCTGAGAACTGTACCTATACCATATATGAAAATTTATCAGGCAATATCATGAGGGGTTGACATAGTTATAATACGTCAACAAGAACTCAGTAACATCACATTATCATTAGTAGGAGAATATGTATTTAAAACATTACGCTTTAAAGACTCAAGTTAAGTTATTATTACAGTAGCGAAAATTTGTTCACAAATGAGTTGAAATATTTTTTTCAATGTGTTGTCAAAATACTACTCAGATAGTCTAATTAGTTCATACGAGTGATCAACGACAGAATCATAAATGATTATTCTTTCAAGCAATCTATAACATATCGGACGGACCTATATTCATTTCGTATAATATTGTTGGTGAAAATCTTCATTCTAACAAAGAACTAAAGTTTCCAAAATACGTTTCATGGAGTAAAATTTCGTTCTTAAATCATTATTAGTGATTTTTTAAAATATTGGTAAATACTGACCCTACAAGAGTTCTAGTAGTTTAGAGTCACATTTAATTGTTGCATAGTCAGAACATATTCTTCAATTCCTCACCACAATACCGATCATACTAGCACGTGTATACATTTCTTATTGTCTTCTAATGTTGAACATTAGAGTAAATAAAACCTTCACAGTGAAAAATGTTTGTGCAGATGGTAATGATATTAAGTGTTATTCATGGAATTACGGTGGAACATTTATTAAATTAAGTATAACAATTTTTTCAGTAGAACTGTTTCTTATAGTTCATGAAGTCAAAGATATTATCAAATTTTTCTATTCGCATAGGTTTGGCCATTTTATCGATTATTTTAATGACTTAATCCTTCATATTTTCGTTAAATTACACCTGATTTAAAAAAACATTGCTTATTTATAAGATTTATAGCACATGAGGTATTTTTTATCTTACCCGTGAAACATCTTGTTCGTCAAGGTACGATGAAGGAAAAAACTGATGTTAATGTTTTGCAAACGGTTTTAGAAACGCATTGAATATAATGACTATCATGAGTGCATGAATCCCAGAAGGCTAAATTCACAAAACGTTTCTGGCATGAAATAAATATTTCTCCCAGTGTAACCGTACAGGTAAAAAATTTGTTTGTCATAGTGGTTTGTTGATAGTTGCTGTTTAGGAACTCAGAAGTAATATAGTTTTATCAGGTCAATCAATATGTATAATAACAGTTGTCTAGAGCCTGTTTTCTTCGTTAGCTAGGGATCAACATTGGTTGACATAGTGTCTCCTAGAAATCTTATTTCTGGAGAAAATTCGTTAAACCGATGAAGATAATATATTGGTGAACTAATTCATCACTTTGACCTTAATTTGCTAACCGTTAGAATCCCATATTGTAAATTATAACATTACATATAAGCGAACAATATTATTTTTTATCATAATATTGTTCATTTATATACTGTTTTAATTAACTATTCCAATCAATTCGGTTTCGATCATAAAAAACTCAACAAACTGATAATAAATCTTCTGCAATTCTTTAGCAATACTGTAAAAGTATCAAACAGTACAAGAGCTAAGATTAAGCACAATGTACCTAAACTCCTAACATTTGTTAGTTTAATTAAGAGAATGTAATACTGAAAACATTTAATGCAATTATATTCTAAACTTTATAGGTGTCAATAGATTTTAGAATTTCTTGGAGTATAATATCACAATGAACATTAACAGGTAGCATCCATAATACCTGTTGATTGGTCTAACTGGTGGCTCCGATGCTGAGATTATTTTATTCGTCATTATCTTGATAAATGCCAATATAACAGATGTTAATAAACTTTAATAATAAGTAGTATGGTTTTAACTCGAAATATGATGTCACCTACCAGCAAATCAAACATCCATCGAAATATTCGACAATAAATAATTCGTAATCACTATGAGTAGAAATTCCAATTTTGATTCCATCAGTTCACTTGCTTGGTGGTAGTGACTATTAGGAAGAAATCTACCAAACATTTTGTAACCTTTATAGCAGTACATTATGTAGCTACTCATATTTTCAAACGTTTTAAAAATATTTATGATCATATAAAAACTATTTCTTAAATGGTTATTTCCGTCTATATTACAACTTATAATTGAGCTTGGAGAAATTGTTATGTTATTCAACTTACTTAGAAATAAGACGGGCCCATTTTCTAGCAGGATTTTGACCCTTCAGTGAATTGGCTGTAACAACAACAGGAGGTTCTGATTGTGGTTGTGAATCAACCGAATTTTTAGGAGTTATTTTAACAGGACTCGATATCGGAGTTGTAATTTTAGGATCATTACTTGGATATATGTGAGTATCGTTGATTGGGAGTGGAGATTTACAAACTGAGCCTGGTTTTTCAGCAGTGCTGTTGACCACTACATCAGAAATACTTGAATTTTCAAATTCTGAACCATCTAGTGATGTGTTATATGAAACTATTGTACCTAAATACTGCCTAGAAGATAAATCTCCAACTTGACTTGATCGACGAAATCTAGAGATTAATTTTCGTACTGGATGATTCGCTGGCAATGAACTCAATGGTGGCTCTTTATTTCTTCTCATTGAAAGTTCCATTTCACGTCTTACATCAGACAACTTTCGAAATATTACCTAAAATAAACGGAATAAAATTACATTTCTTAATTAACTCTTCTTTTAAAGAAGTGGATATCATTAAATTATAGAAAGTCTAAGTAGAAATAGCAGATTTATTGCTTATGTCTGAGACTCTTGCGCATAACCGTAAAAAAGATTAAACCTAGTATTTTTGTAATCTTCCAACGAACATGACAACAAAAAACCACAGAGTTACATTCGAATTATTTATAGGTTTAACCCCAATCCACATGTTATTCACATAACAATCGTTCATTATCATTGATTAGTAACTGGATTATCAGCATGACAGATTTCTCGTGTTTCAAAAATGGTTTTAAAGTTAGTCATTTGTAAATATGAAATTATCAAATAATCAGATGATTTACATAAATCTAGAATTTAAAAATATGTAACGTCAGATTTAGTTACTAAAAAGTATTTGGCTAACTACTGAACTTGATTTGTGGTGACTTCATTTCAACCATAACATTAAAAATGCAATATAATGTATATTGGTTTTTGTTTTCATTAGGCCTCACAATAGATACACTATAGACATTACTAGTTGAAATAGATAAAAATGCTTTCGTTGTTTAATAATTAATTATTGAGAATAGATATAGACACTAAAAAAAATAATTAACCATAATCATTACAATCCCAAATGAAAGACACTTTATTGATAACAGGTATATGAATATTTCATAGTATATATTAGAGAAAATCTCCAAGAAATTATCTATTCAAATAATGAAACATTTCTGTCTTAAACTCAAATAATGATAGATTGAAAGGAACAATGTACACCGTAGGTATCATTATCAAGGTTTGATCTGATAATTTCGAGTAAATTGAGCATTGGGTAGATTGTTATAGATAAATAATATATTTTTAATATCCCAATGAGTGGAAAAATTAGTACAATTGTACTATTTAAACTTGGATTAGTTTTAATTTGGTCATTTATTCGCTGAAGAAGTGACTTACACTAAGTCACGAAACTTCAGAAATTCTAATTTTTCTACTGATTGGAATATTACAAATGTACACCGTAATCTAAACTATAGATGTAAAACATCAGTCTACGTGTATTTTTCATGATTTTTAATCATTTCAAGTGCATTATATAGTAGTCTTATTTCATTAACCTGGAACATTTGTCTAATCAGGCCTACAAGTACATTATGATGAATTTGAACGACGAGTTCATATAAACTTAGTGTGACAACAACATAGTGCTGAAAACCAATAACACAAATTAACCTGTTATTATGATCCACTTACCGTTTTTGTACGTATTCATATAATTAATTATGAACCGTACATTGTATAAATAATCATTTTCTTTTCCCTCTGGTTTGACCTACTAACCAACTGCTTGAAACTTACTATTCCCTAACATTTCATGTTTCAACTTCTATTTTTACAACGTTAACATTTGTCACAACAAATGTAGATGATTTAAATAACTTGTAATGGCTTTTTGTTTATAACTACTATTTCATATCATATAAATTATTCCAAGCAATTACTTTAGTCATACTTATTCGAAATAATATACATAAAATAATGAAACAAAATTATTTTCTTTTTCAAAACAACACATATATATATTTTAAAAAAGCATTAGTCAAATGTTTCAACAAAGAATGAAATATACGTTTACAGGATTATAAACTAACATTACACATACTCTATTGCACAGATTGTAAGTTAACTCTAAATTTCTTGTAAAACTATTTGCAAATGCATGATAGAAGTTTAAAACAACTCTCAGACGATCCAATCGTATTGTATGCAAGGTACAATAAGTCAGTGCTCGAACACTAGCTGCTGCTGGTACTGATACTGTATTCTTCCATAATGGGTCACCAAAAACATCACCTTTTCCTTAAAAATAGGAAATAATATTACAGGAATTACGATATGCTAACAAGAGACTGATCAAATACAGTCCTAAACAACAAGTGAACAACACCAAGTGAATTTAAACTTCACCCCAATGCACAAGCACGTGACTATCAGGATTCAGTGGCTAACTGGATAACGAGAGGACGTTTGAAGCGAACGGTACTGGGATCGAGTACTGGAGTAAACATAGACTCTGAGATGCAGGTACATCTAGATAATGAGTCCCAAATATGACGAAACGCACATCTTAGATTCTACTGCTAGCCATTGTCCATCTTTGCTTATAATGCTTGTGAATTAAGGCAATCTCAAGGCAATCCACACAGGATGCACATGTGCCAACAAGAGACTAATCAATTGCAGTCCTAAACAACAATGGGAAGATACAAGTCAATTTGGAATTATGATATGTTTAAAATTATCTGAAGTTGCATAAAAACTTATGATAAGTCAAGAATGACAAAACATTAATTGTTTTGGTGGTTTGATGAACGTTGAAACTAGTTCAGAAAATCTTTTTTTAAATACTTAATAGTGATCGTTAAGATAAATGACATTTGAATATTAAGAGAAATAAATAATTTTCAGAAGATCTTTTTAGTGAAGATACAAAATACCACTCAATTTGCAATTCATCATTTGTATTTATTGGGTTGTAACTCGGTTGAAATAGTGAACATTAAGGGAAATGAATATATGCTCCTTAACTAACAGTGTCGATTAGTTTTAGTAGATGTTTGAAAATAGGATATTGTTTTATACTAACTTATTTATAGGTCTGTACTTCACAAAGCGTTTATTCTATGTGCCACGCTATAATCAACTAAAAGATTGCTGAAACGCATAAATTGTTTCTACCACTTTATGTACATTTTTGATTAGAATGGCTTTAATCCTTGTTCTAGAGATACTCACTGACACGTTAATGCAACATTAACCCATTGAAAGTCATAGCTGTTGTTAAATATTCAAACATTTTCTGATAAGAGCAAACATTAGCCCATCATTGTTTAATCTTCAAACTAAAACACGTCACAATATTTTCCTATTGTAACAGTTTTTCGATTAGTATACTATATTTAAGCTCTACCTGGGATGATAGATGAAAATGAATTTTTTTAAGAATATTTGTTCGTTACCTGACAAATTATATGATGCTTGTTGAACATTTTAAATGACAATATATGACGTCTTTAATCCTGTGATAATAGTCAGTCACTTGACTAGGGATTCTATCCTTTAGCAACCATTTATTTGAAATTATTTACACAGGTAGGTTAGATTTTCTCCCATTCTAGTCATTCCCTTCGTTTGTCAGTCTTTCATGAGAAACTAATAACTCAACCAAAGCTAGAATTTTAATTATTCAACACAAAAGTTAATAATTTATGTCTACTTAATACAAAATTAATGAATAAACCATTTTGTGTTTACTTGAGAACAATTAAAACTAACATTCTACTCAATGAATACACAGACAATACAGTTTTCTATCAACATTTTAGTAGGGAAATAAAGAAACTCTACCGTATTGTAAAGAGTCTTTACCATAGTAATCTTTATATTCCACTCAACACAATACTTTCATTTCATTAATATAACAGAAATTATGAAAATATTTTTATTCTATAAATACTGGATCAATCTCTCAGAAGAGAATTCTATAGCCGTCGTTTATTAGTTTAAGCACTCAACTTCCCGAGAAAAAAACCATAGAAAAATAATCCTACTTCTTCTCTTGTTTGGATAGTATCTAGATAATACCGCTAGGTATGACATACAATGTAGTTAAAGGTCGATTACATTATTTACGTTATCACTAGTTAAGATCAGTGAGAAAGTATACTGTTTTGCAGATCACTTTGTATGTAATATGATAGCTTTACTATTGCGTAGAGAGTTATTCTACTTTTGTTAATGTAATTATTGTTTAGGATATACAATCTCAAATTACAATGAATAAGAAGATAATCAACACTAATTAATTTGAAATTCTGTTACCGTGACTTATCCAGCGTGAACACTATTCACAGACTTTTAATACAATTTTACAATATTTTAAGTCGGTGACAATTACCCACTTTAAATATTCCAAACATTATGTTCATTGATATGTATTCACTAAACTTAAAGTATTTTGATTGGTTGTACTGGATCTAAAGCAAATGAGTTTATCAGAAAAAAAAAGTCTTTACTCTAGTTGGTAGGGCGGGAAAAAGAAGTGGATAGAATAGTTTCATTCATAGTATTGAAGTTGTAGTAGTGTGAATTATTATCAGAGATATTGAACGTATCAGTTAGTATAATTGTACATGAATCTGAATGAAACAGATATGTTACATTTAGTAGGCAGTGAAATGTTAATGAAAATAATGCCTGTAATAAAAAACGTTACAGAGCGTGTTACATGTTATACTTTTCAAATACACTGTGGTGTTAAAGATCGTTAAAGTTTGAACGGGTTTGATGGAAAAATTTAAATAATTTGTTTGTTAGTTTAAACAATTTAGTCATTGGTTTAAAGAATAGGTATTTGGCAGACTTGACTTCTCAAGGCACAGAATATGGTACTTATTTTGTTATGGGCCAGAGCAACAATAAAAATCTGAGAGCACTTAATTTGTTGGGGTTAATCAGTAATGAGCGTTTTCAATTTCTAAAATATGGTCACGGCATGCCATTTTTAGTTGGTTTTTTTAGACCAATCTACCGTGAGAGAGAACAAACCAGGTTCCAGATGAAGAGGAAATTCGGAAAAGATGTTGGAGATGGACAAGACATATATGGTGGAAATTGTCGCACTGCATCACGGGAAAAGCGTTAACTTGGAATCCTGATGGAAAACGGTAAAGAGGAAATCCGAAGAACACACTACGTCGACCATTGGAAGCAGACATGAAAAGGATGAATAGCGACTAAAAGGAACTGAAAAGGATTGTCTAGGACAGGGTTGGATGTAGAATGCTGATGGGCAGTCTATGATCCTACATGAAGAGTAACAGAAGTAAGTAAGTATGCTATTAATTGATCTATGGATTATAATTTTATATCCTTAATATTTGAATTTCATTTGATATATATTATATAATGTGACGTTACCCAGTGTCGCCACTATCGTTTGTCACTGTTGATGTATATGTCTCTACAGAATATACTTTTACATTAAAAACTACGTTGACTGCAAAATTATTTCATAACAAATACTGAATTATTTTTACTCAATGAAAATTAAATATGAAATGATGCTGTATAATTCTTACCGAGTATCGCTATCACTTCATCGTCTTGCAATACTTCTAAAGTACCACTTGCTATAAAACATAATTGATCAACGCTTTCACCTTGATGACAGATTAAATCACCTGGTGCTGTATGCAATGTTTGGAAGTTAACAGCTAATGAACGTCGACAACCATCACTTGCTAATCGAAATGCAGCATGACTATTAAATACACAACGATTTAAATGAACAGAAATATCTGCTTGCATATCTTTTGGACAATAGTTTAGTACCTTAAAATAATCAAAATATAAATATAATCTAATGTAATGTATATTTGAACATTAGAATAAATGATTGCTTTTAGTAGAAGGTATAGTATGTCGTCAGTGTATTGATGATGATAAAATTATCAGATGAATAGATATAATATTAACAGCTCAACATTTTGAAAAATGTCTTAACTAACGTTTACTTTTCTTAAAGGAGACAAGAAGCTGACCCAATTGCCAACTGATATATTTTTATTGTTCCTTTTCTTAATTTGTGATATAATTAGGTTATAATCTGATGTATAATTTTATATGCTTGATTACTCCAAAAGTTGTTTTATACATTAATTCATTGTTTACATTATATTGAATGATGCCGTCATATCATGCTCTAATTCCAGATACTAATGTAGGATTTCCGAACAAAGTATACATATGATAGTTACTAAGCTAGTCAATTCTATGATAGGCCAGATAATGAATAATTTTACTGTTAAAAGAATTTCAGTGAAAATATATTTCACATATGTTTTCTGTTTAAAGTAGCTTAGTTGTCAATTGGATTTACGAATGCAGAGCATGTTACATCGTAAACTAGGTATCATTATTTCGGGCTTCACTTGAAGTTTAACGTTCTGACTTTTATAAAACTGTTGATTCATAAATGTTAATGTTATAACTTGTGGCCTATGTGCCCTGTTATGTATAACGTAACGATTCCGCCAATTAGAAAGCAGTGAATTATCGATCGGACCTATGACGCATAATACACATACGAGCAGTCCAAAGTCCTGATCGGTCCTGCTTTCCGTCTAGTCCAGTCAGTTAAGTCCACAACACCAACCTCACCCTATGCAAGATGAATCATTTATTTCAAACATACTGGGTTTATATACCAACCAGACAGACCACACCGTATCATAAATTACGAAACAACATTTGTACAAGAAATAGCCAAATGTAGCTGTGAATGAGTGAGGTAGTAATTGATAGACAGGGCATAATTCAAGAATGGTAAATCGTATAATAATAGTTCATAGGTCAAAATGAATCTCATAATAAGAGGTATATGAATATGAATAGTTTAGTTATTTAACAATTATCTGGTAAAAAACACATGCATAGTATCTGTCCATAAATGGATCCCAAAAGTTACCATTCATTATGCTTATCGGGACATAACAGATAAACGGCTTAAATCTAGAATCGTTTGCATTGATTACACTTTATTTATTACAACAAAACACTGTAACTAGTAATAAGATGAATAGAAAATGAAAAAGAAATATTAGTTACTATCTGATTTTTATATTTATCCATGATTAATTGTGTTGTTATCTTATTCGTCATACATCGTTTTGTTAAATCAGTTTATTTTATGTTATGTTACTTGTTTGCTTGTTAGTATATATATGGAATAAATTTGAAAAGATTTTGAGTAGTTTATGTAAACAATAGTCAGTTCTAAAGATAAATCATTCTATTCAAGTTGATTTAAATGTTCTGTACTGAATAGCTGAATATCATGCTAATATCTTATTTTAAATAAATTATATTAGAATTGTATGCTATTTAGATCATCAAGCTAGTGAGATTATGGTTTAAATTATGTTACTGATAGTGTTTAATGTACTACTTAGAAAAAACATGATTATCGTTAAAATCAACTTTTTAAATAACCAACATAGTAAAACCTTATCTATTATTATTATTATTATTATTATTTGGGAAAATTTTATTTAAATTTCATTCACTGAAATTATTTGCAAAGTAATTTTCCGGAAAAATATCTTCTATATACTGAGCGCCAAATTCCTGTCAAGCTATTCATTCAAATATTGACGAACATTTATATAAGACATATACATATACCATAAATTATTCTTTCAAAATATATCATTTCTGCCTTGCTAAAATTTGTGTTTAATTTGCAATGGTTATTGTAAATCCCTCTAGTTAGAATAGTTTCATCATTAATATAGGCATTTGATTGTAACAAGCAGCATGAAGTATATTGTCAACTTTTTTCAAACTAATTCATTTTTGTATTGCTTGCTTGAATCTTTCTATTGATGTTTAGGAGTGCAATTGATCAGTCAACTCTAGAATGCAGGTACATCCAGCAAACAAATCTTAAATAGGAAGAAATACGCGTCCTGGATTCCACTGCTAGCCACTATCCATCTATGCTTATAATGCTTGTGACTTAGAGCAATATCGAGGCAATAAGAGACTGATCAATTTTCAGTTCTAAACACCATTGTGAAACTCCAAACAAACAATACAAAAATGGATTGAAGTTTCACCCCATCGCACAAACAATTGGTCATCAGGGCTCAGTAGCTAAGTGAATAACGCGACGGTGTTTAAAACGAACGGTACAGGCTTAGGATCGTGGAATGAACATCAACCCGTAGCTGCAGGTAAATCCGGCTGAAGAGTCCCCAATAAGATGAAACACGCGTCCTGGATTTCGCTGCTAGCCACCATACATCTTCGTTTATAATTCTTTAAACCTAGTTTTAAGATTTACTGAATCCTATTCTAGTTATTTTCCAAAGAAAGTCATGTTACAAATTGGGCAAAGATAGTATGAAATTTAATATATATGCAGTTTTAACAAAAGAACATCTGTCAGTAATACAGTAACACGATTTCATTGTAAAACTTATTTCTAGTAAAAAATATTTCTTCTAAAAATTAAAAGTAAAATTTAACAAAAACTCACTTTCACTGTATCAATTCCTTTGGTTACTGACCAAGATGATGTAATATAATCAATAACACGTTCTCCTAACTCTCTAGGAACTTCATGAATTTTTAAGAAATCTTTAACCCCTTTCATCATTTCATTATATCGTGTACGTGTTGCATACATTTGTTGAACAATAGTTGTTACATTTCCAAATATAGTAGCATAAACCAAAGCTGTCATTAAAGTAAAAATGTAATGGAATTTATTTGAGTTAAATAATTTGAAAATTTTATTAATTTTATTGTTTTTTATATTGTAAATACGGTAATCAAATTAACTTCATAGCCAAAGAATTCACTTTAAAGTAATCATAACAGAGAAGGAAGACCAATAGGTTGGATTAAATGGAATTTTATCTACGCTTAGGGTTAACAATTACATCAAAGAGTTTTTAAAGACGATTATTAGCAATGAAAGAAAAACTTAATAAAAGTGTATGCCGGAACATTGGAAGACCACTGTTGTCATTCCTCACCGCAGAGAAACATCGGAAGAAATTATGAGGATTATATTACAATAACCCATCATAAAAAGATTAAATATTGAAAATGTTAAAAAGAATCGAGATCATTCATATTCATGCTAGGTTTGAAGCTATCACGGTTCACTTAATCTGCGAACGTCAATTGACTACCATTCAAATATTTTAACATTTAATCGATAAGATAAAATCACAAAATGTGAGTTTTGGGGGATCTATCGTCTCCAACACTCCTCCCCTTTTTTGAAGATCCGGAGTTTATATCCGGATTTTAATTTTTTCGAGTTCACCCTCCCCCACGAAACAGCGTTGGATCCTCATATGCTCAAGTTACAATTAATCTGAATTTATTTAAGACATATTTATCGCAATGAGCAGAGAATCGACTGAAAATGACTGAGTGGGGAGGGTGAACGACGCTTGATATGAGGTCATCGAACTTTGATTCTTCAGAAATATTATGATCAAATTTATTGAAAACATGACTAGTAGATAGTGGATCGCTATGATAATCAGCGTGCATCAAAACTGCATCAGGTTCTTGATTATTATTTGATACATATGTCATATTTTCTGGCAAATCAAGGGAATATCGATTAGATTCGTCAAGAACTTCTATCGCAGAATGTTGAGCTTCACTTGGTGCAGCTGCATTCAGTGTACTGCACGATTTGTTTTCTAGTTCATGGGTAGTTACTGCGATACTTCCATGAACATTTAACAGGGCGTCTTTTTGTGAGCTGGATACATCAATGTCTGTACATGCTGTTTCGGGGGTAATAGAGTTTGGATCCGTTACCGGGCATGTTTATGGAATGGGGAGTACTGGACCACAGGGCGGATCTTGAGTGACAGCTGTATCGTTTGAAATACGGTTTTCTAAGGATTCATGGGGGCTGCAATTTTTTTCTAGCTCAATGCGCAACTGTGAAATTAATCCATCCACTTCCATCGCATCTGCAAAGCATGAGCGATTCCGCAGCTGTGTGTGTAAATTGACTAAGAACTCCAATCGTCGCTCAAATAGCAGCTGTAGTCGATCGACAGTAATTTTTTCTTAATCAGAACCGGCTGATTTTGGATTGTATTTTTTTATCCCGTCGCCAAATTTGCTAGGGTTAAAGCTATCACGGGTTCACTTAATCTGCGAACGAGAACGAGACTCGGTGAACAAAGACCAGTAAGCTAGCTATTGATGCGTTCCAGCCCCGCTATCTAGAGGGAGAAGTCCAATCTTAGAATGGGAAGTATATTCTGAAACAACCAGAAAACGTGCGATTTTAATAAAAACAATTTAAAACGTTTATATACAAATATATATAGTCGATATTGTCATATAAATTTTTAAACATTCATCAATAAATTCGTCAACTGACTACCATTCAAATATTTTAACATTTAATCGATAAGATAAAATTACAAAATGTTAGTTTTGAGGGATCTATCGTCCCCAACAATTCAATAATTCAATTTATAATTGATTTACTTACCACCTATAAGCATACAACAAATTGATAATAATTTTTCACTTTCTGTAAAAGCTGCTACATTCCCAAATCCAATTGTAGTAAGTAATGATAAACTAAAATATAATGCTGTTATATAAGCAGTCCATTTTTCTCTAGAATTTTGTAATGGTAAATTTAATGATGATATATGTTGATAAATATTATTTTGTTTATATTCTGATTGATCTAAATTTATAGTTACAATTGTATCATTTTGTAATGTTTTATTTACACAGATTTTATTAATTGAACAATTAGTAATATTGATTGATTGATAAAATGGATTTTCCGATTTCATTGATGATGATGATGATGTTGATGATAATGATGGTGATGTTGTTGATGATGTTCTATGTGTAGATGGTATTGATTGTGAATTAGAATTAATTAATGCAAAATTCATTAATGAATTATGTACATTTGTAATATGTTGACTTAATAATTGTGTTTTATTTAAATTTATCATTGATACTGTTAAACTATTATCATATAATGTAAATTCTTCCCAATTTTGTGGTTTTAATGAATCATTATAAATTCTTGGTATCCAACCATAATAAATTTTATTTTCTATATCAAATATACCAACAGCATACCATGCACAAGCAAACCAATGTGCTAATAGAAAAAAGCATAAAATCATTAATAATAATAAAGTGGATACATATTCTAAGTATTGATCAATTCGTCTAGCTGCACGTCCTATACGTAATAACCGAATAATACGTAATGCATCCATTAGATAATAAACTTCCTATAAATGAATATTATAAAATGGATTGTATGTTTGTTTTTTCGAATAGAACAAAGAAATAAACCATATTTTCAGTAAAACTTTGTTAAAAGTATATATTTCATGCAAATAGGGTAATATAAGGTGAAATTTCTTTTCGACTAGTTGTTTACAATACTCATCGAGTGGATATGTGACGTAATAATTACATAATGACATTACATGCAAACACTTGAAAAAGATTTTGTAGCTTAATGTTCAGTGCTTTTCGAGGTTGTGCTCTCTTTCTGATGAAATGATTTAATAGTGCTCACAAATAATCTATTACTTTCCCATAATTGGAGTCAGATCACGGGCCACTACAATGTAATAACACTAAAATATACTTTATTTCAAGTTCAAGTATGGTCCATTAGCATACATGAGTTCACTTGAGTCATTCGCGTAGTGATGAACCATTCGGTTAGCAGTCAAGTTATTAATATGACTTTGTCAAGTATTCGGTTCACAACATATAGGCCAAGGGTTTTTGAGCTTCTGTGACTTTGTCACGATTTTAAATTCAATGACACTTTCTGTAGGCAAATGATTTAGCATGGACTGAATTCAGTCACAAAATCAATGAAACGAGAAACTACTATGGAAGTGCTTCGTACTGGTGTATTGTGTGTTACTGATGTTGGCAGATATAACTAGTATATATCATCAATCGAAAGTGAAATGCCTGGAGGCAGAAGGTTAAGAAGATTAAAGAAAAGAGAAATAGAGCAAAGAATGATTGGTGTGGAAACAAAAGAACATTGAAGTCTGAGACAATTGATTGACATTCTGAAAATGAAGTATTTACTGTATGGTTCTCAGATTTTACCAAAACGTTCTGTAATTTTGTATTCAAATACATTTGTGTTCTCGTTTACTACACTGGTGTAACCATACTCAGCAATGTTCATTCAATACCCCTCCAGCAGTCAAGAATAATACTTGCAGGCTTCGAGTTGAACAATCGCCTTTTATACAACTCATGCGGATTCAAAAATGCTTGCACTTTTAACTTTAGTAAATCCTCAATGTTGTTCAGCCTCTACTCATTGCCATCGGCAATGTCTGATACATGTCTGATATGACCAAATTCCACTAATATATTACTGAACTTATAATGAAGTTGGATAAGTATGTGACAGCTAAATAAGTATTATGGTGAAGAATGTTCTAGGTTACAAATTTTCAAGTTGAAGAATTACAGTAGGATACAAAGTAAGCATGTTATTTGTGATTCGAATGAAATTTTAATTGCCAACATTAAGTTTTTTTTAACAATGATGTGAAGTATTTTGCGAGTATAATTAGCCATCTAGCATATTACCTTAAAATATTTATCGATTTAATATATGTGTTTCCGTATTGCAAGTTTACAATCCAAACTAATGTCAGCCATTGCACCTTAAGGTAATAAATGCATGATATGAGATTGTTTTTAAAAATCTAACATGTGGATTATAATTATCATAAATTATGATAATTATTATGTCATAGATTACAATATCTCACCACGTTATATATATATATCAGTACATATTGATTGAGTCCTAAATATCCACAACTGAATAATACAAGCTTCTACAAATAAATATTGTACTTTTTGGGAACGATGTCTATGTGTATACACAAGCTTAGTGGATAACATTTTAGCATATGAAAATATAGGTATTGGGTTCCGGGTATGTACACCTAACGAGGTTTAAAAAGTACGAAACAGCCTTCTTAGATTCCAATGATAGTCATAATCTATATATACTCTTATAAATATACGCAACAGAAATAATGACTGATCATTAAGTAACAAAATTTGATCTGTTTTTAATTTATGTCCATATGATCTTATAAAATATTTTACTCTTCATTTAAGAAAAGAATTAAATTTGATAAATTTGTTCATTGATCTACATTAGAAAATACACTAAATTCACTTGACTGTCATAAATCGTATGATGAAAGTATAAATTATTTTAATACTTCGTTTATTGGGGGAGATACGACTCGTATTTATAGGAAAAACAGAAGAAAAATTTAAAAACTTTCTTTTTATACCTAAATAAAAAAAACAATAGTTCAATATTATTGAAAACTAGTTAGTGAGAAGCGAATTTATTGATTTAATGACAAAATTCATTTACTGTTGGGGATGATTATCAGTTCTTGTTTTTTCTTTTTTTCTTTTTTGGTTTAACGTTTATCAAGTTTTAACAGTTATATTAAGCACTATCGTTTACTAACATTTATTAGAATTCGTATCAGAGGGGATTTTTGTGGATATTATAGTAATTTTAATAGTTAAGATCATGAGTCAATTGAAGCTAGAGCATCATGGAAAATCTGGAAGCACTGGGTTCTGGGTTCGAATCCCACTGGGCGGGATCGCGAATGAAGTGTTGAGGAGTCTTAAAATAGGACGAAACGGTCATCCAATGCCTGCAGGTTTTCCAGGGTGGTTTATCATCAATTGACCCATGATCTCAACTACTTATGAGAATTGTTTATTCAGAAATACGTGAATTGTGGTTGAATGCATAATATTAGAGAAAAACGAACAATAAGTTTAAATGAAGAATTTGAATATTTCTGTGTACAAATATAATGTTTGAGTAACACTACAGAGATACTAAACACAATTGTAATTTTGCATTTTGAAAGAATAAACTGAATTGAGAATAGTTAATTTCTATTCTGAACAACATGACTTTTTATTAGTTTAGAAATTTGGTTAAAATTGTTTATCATCACCGATTGATTTTAGTAAAACTACAATGAAAATTACAACCCCTCCCTGTTTTGTTGTGATTTTATGTAGATAATTGAAACTCTTAAATGTCTCAATGTATAACACTAAATATACTACAGAGCATTTATTCAATGTTTGAAGGAGAATAGATAGTAAGCTACCATTTAACATTCCTAAGATCTGTTGAGAATAATACTATGATAATTATAGGCACAGGCTTTCTTAATCATATCAAACGGGTACTCTAGTTTCATAGACTACTTCTGTAGAGTAAATGTTTCCTTTACTCTCTTGAAATAAGGCCTAAGCATATTGAATAAGCATAAGTTCTATTAGAACATGAATTTGAGCATGCTTCGAATAAGTGCTAACTACATAGAAATTAGCTTTCTGTAAGAGTTAATTGTGAGTGATTGTGTTTGGTAACTCAAATAATTTTAATTAAGTCATTTCTTGAAATGAACTTAACAAATCGAAATTTATGATAATATAAATAGTAGCAAAGATATCAGATAATATGATGTAACCAATAAATTACTATGACTCACAGTGTTATCTACAGGCCAACAATATTTTAATATTTCATATGGAAGACAAGCCAATAAGTCTAATGTAAACCAACCGCTCAAATAATTCATTCGAATAACTGGAGGATCAGCAACCACCTCACCACCGGCTCCAACAAAAGATGTATGAAAATTCAATACAATATCTACACCGAAAATAATATCAATGATCGCATCCATTATAGTTAACAGCTCTAAAGTTGTTGGATGAATCCATTCTTTTTGATTATTTGTCCGTACAGTTAAAGATTCAGAAGAAGGAATCCATGCTGGTCGAGGAATAACTGCAACTCTTAATGGTACAATGATAGCTGTGTAACCAGTAAGCAGTAAGATTGTCCAATCCCATACAATGCGAAATACTGAATAATGTAAAAGGACATGTTTAGGTGGACATGGTGGTTCTGGACGATAACGTGGAACTGATTCAGGGGTTGACCATTGATTACTAAAAAGATCATCTACATCCCCATTTATGTTTGTACTCTAGAATAACAATAAAACATTCGAATCAAATAAGTAAGTTTATATGTGTGTTTTCTAAACTGATTATTTGAAAAATATCAATTGAAAACTGTTATGCATATGTAAATGTACTTTTGAAATTTGCATCGGTAAAATTTACTATACTCTTTATTTGTAAACATTTTGAATTATAATATATCTGAAATCTATGGTAAAAAATTATTGTTCGGTTTGTCAATTTTTCAAAATGTTATTGAACATTTAATACTAAATACATCCAGCTGACGAGTCCCGAATAGGATGAAACAGGCGTCCTGGATTCTACTGCTAGCTACTATCCATCTTTGCTTAAAAATCTCGTGACTTAAGGCTACATCGAGGCAATTCACATAGAATGCACATATGCCAACAAGAAAATGATCAATTACAGTTCTAAATAACAACGGGAATATACAAGTAAAACAACACCAAGTGAGCTTATATTACTACTTCTTCTTCATATTCATATAAAAACTGTTTTCATGGTTAGGTTTCAAAAAAAATCTATTTCATAACTGGTAAATTATTTTCAGATTTATTTATGATATTATCTAAGCTCCGATTAATGTTTATCTTTGTAACCAATGAAGGGTCATTTAATGACACTGTGGTACATGCTAATTATGTCTATCAACATAAGTATTTTATGTATATATTTTACCTAGATACTCTGTTATTTTGTATTGAAATGCAGTTGTTCAGCCGTGGATGCACATAGCTGACCAAACTAATTGGTTTCGTTAGACTTCATTTAACTAATTCAACTTCTGTGTCCATGTTTATTCTGTTATGTTCATGAAAATGGACTTGTTTAAAATTCATTCATTGGTTTGTGAAGTTATAGTTTGTTGAACTCCATACATTACATCACGAACTGATCTTAGAAAACGACTAAAAACTAAGTAGCATTATGTAGTCCGTGATGGAAACTGAAGAATAATTTAGTCTTCCATTGCATGTTAGAATTTTTTTCAATACTTCTACCCTTGTAATCGTAAATCCAATTAAAATGCCAAAGGCTTTGTCAAATCATCTTATACTTTTTATCCTCCTTTTACTCTGTTATTTCCAGTTATCACCAGTTATTGGTGAATTCATTGTTCATTCTGAAAACAAACATCTCGTCAGATAAGTATATGATCAAAATCGATTGAAATGGATCATATCAAATGTATCAAAACCAAACTAATCTCATTACACTTACTATAAATATTTTTATTATCCTCTAATAAACGATATGAAACTAACCTTTCTGATGTTTTAATATTACTAAATTAAATGTTTCATGAAGATGTCATTTAAATTATTATCAATGTTCTTAATATTTGTTGACTAAAAACTAAAGTGGTCAATTAGAATGATGCTATGTGAATGGGATTTAATTTCCACATAACATTTTAAAATTGTACTTACTAAATGAGAATTGTTTTTTTATCCTAAATTACTTAATTTTGATATGGTGAAATATCACTCTAGAATACACCATAAGTAAGATACTAGTTAAAGATAATGTAAATCCATTTCAAATGACCGCTACAGCCATTAGAAAAATCCCATTATCATTACTGCAGTTGTTATTTTAAATTTTATATACATGAGCATTATAAAATATTAGTATCCTGTAACAGATCCATTCATTTACAGAAAACCTGTAGATTAATTAATTTAGACATTTCAAAACACCTTATTTGCTTTTTTTCAAATATATAACATTATGAATTATTAAAAACGCTTATTCATAATCATATAACCTGAATATATTTTATAAGCGAAGATGGATGGTAGCTAGCAATGGAATCAAGGACGCGCCTCTCCTCCTATTTGGGACTCGTCAGCTGGATATACCTGCAACCCAGAGTCAATGTTCACTCCGAGACTAGAATTCACTGCTGTTCGCCTCAAACCCCATCCCAATATCCACTTAGCTACTGAGTCCTATTTACTTATAAATCTTGTGACTTAAGACAATATTGAGGCGATCCACACAGGTTGCACATATGCCAACAAGAAACTGATCATTTACAGCCCTAAACAACAATGAAAAGATACTAGCAAGCAATATCAAGTGAATATATTTTATGTATCATCTTTTACTAAACATTTTAATATCATTTTGAAGGCATTAACTTTTTTAATATAATCCCTTTTACTTTATAATAACATACATCTTACTTATTTGTAGAACATGTAAACTACTAACAAGTACTTCAATAAATAAAACTAGCAATAAAATCTAATATATAGTTATATCATCATTATGAACAGATACAATGAATGTATCCGTTTAGAAAATTTACCCATATTATTATTTCGATAATGTAATAAGAAGACGGAGATTGTCAGAACTATGTGATATATTAGCGCAATACATTTCGAACAATCTGATCACACATTTATATATAAAGATAAAAGGTCAACTAGACTGGAAATGATTAGGTTTTGAATTGTGTTCACATTATTATTATTACTCTTATTATTATCCTTATCTCCTCTTACCTAATTTCCAGTCTAGTTGACATTTTATTTTTTTATATATAAATGTTCTTAACAAGTATATTATGTGTGATCAGATTGTTCGAAATGTATTGCGCTAATATATCACATAATTCTGATAAACTTCGTCTTCTCATTGTATTATCGAAATTTATAAAAGGAACCAAGTGCTTTAAATATTATTATTATTATTATTATTATCATCATCATTAAACTTACTTTGATATTTCCAAGCTTCTTTGAATTCAACATGGTATTGTTTGATTTTTTATTTACTTTTTTCTTAAATATATTATACTTATGCTTTTTTGATTTAATTTCTAAATTATATAAATTTAATTCACCAGATTCTAATTTATTTAATGATTTCACATAACTACTACTAATTATATTTGATGGTAAATTATCAATATTATCTGATGTTGAAAAATGATGACAAGATTTTGTTGATTTACGTTGATTCCTTTGTGTTAATGGAATAATCAGTTCAATTTCATCGTTTGCATTACTATTATTATTGTTATTATTATTATTATTATTGGTGGACTCATTTGCGTTGTTTATATTTTTATCAGATCCAGAGGATTGTTGATGTTGTTGCTTCTCGATAGATTTTGATTGAATACATTGAATTGTTTCATTCTCAACATTTAATTGTGGAGAATCTATTTGTTCTGGATTACCTGTAATTGAGTCTTCAGCTTTCTGTCTTACCATAGCAAATACAAGACGTGCAAATTTTCCCCAACCTTAACATAAATGAATATGAAATGAAATCGGATTAGATTTTATTTTCTGAAATATTTAGTGTTAAGTTCAAAAGATAGAGTGAAGAAATTGAAAGATATCTAAAATGATCTTGACAGATTCACATCTCTCATTTGTGGATAAGTAGACATATGAGTAATCTTTCGAAATCGCTTGGTAAAATATAGAAAACTTGAAACCTATCTATCCCGTTAACCAGGTTAATGAATATTTTGAGGTTTCATAATTTTTTTATCAGCCTCATAATTAGGTTTGGCATATACACACACTTTTCTATCGAACTTGAAATGAGATTTGATTTCCATCCTTTATAGCGATGTAAGTAGTTTTTTAAAAGACACGAGATGAATTTTAAGTCATTTCAGTACATACATTGATTCGAATAATGTGTGCTGATCCTGCCCATATTTATTTTAATATATGTAATCTCCAAACGAATTCATGTTATAGTGTATTACTAACAAATTGGTTTACTTGATAATAAATATTTTAGGACCAAAAAGAAACGCGCTTAAGTGATATTTATTGAGAACACATTTTGAATTGCAACTTGTATACTTGTCGTATCTATCTTCATTTTCGCAGTATTTATTGTTTCCTTTTCACAATGACATAACATATTCGTTTTCACCACCATAATTTTTTCTAAATACTGTGTGATGTATCATCCTTTGAATTATTTTTCAAGTCATAGTCAGATTCTGAACGTTTTAAACCTAAAAGTTGACACAGTATTGTAAAACTTCATTATACGAAAACATTTGATAGATAAAACAGTCAAAACTGAAAGCTTGTCAATCACACTAGTGGAATTTTTAGAAATTGTAGTGACCGAGTATTTGAATTCATGAGTCGATTTATGCTAGACCACCATGGAAAACCTGGAAGAATTGGACGGCCGTTTTGCCCTAGTATGAGACTCCTTAGCAGTGCGTATCCACGATCTTTCACACGGAACTCTTGTTGTGAGGTAGTTACTCACTGAACACAATGATGAATTGTTTTGCAATATCATGAATTGGTTGAAGCTATACATTAACACCGTTTGATGCAGGCTCAATGGCTTACAGGTTAAGCATTCATGCACGAGACCGAAGGTCCTGTATCCGAGTCTCGCGTGCGGAGTCTCGTACCAGAACGAAACGGTCGTCAAGTGTTTCCAGGTTTTCCATGGTGGTCTAGCTTAAATTGACTTATGAATTCAGCTATTAAACCCTACATATAACAATTCATGTGATTTATAAACCCTTTAAAAGGTAAAATTTCTCTCAAGGCCATTGAAATTCTACATTGATAAGCATTAGCATACAGCAAAATTCAATTCATTAATATTTTCAATCATCTTTTAAGATCCAACTATAGACTGTTTTCATAGGCATATTGTTCAGGGTATTAACTAACCAATTTTAGGCTGACCTGCAAAGTTGTATAGTTTCAGTTTTTTTTAATTCAAAATGTACAGTACAGCATTTTGTAAAAATTGAATTATTTCACCAGGATTATTGATGATATGAAACTATTATTCAGTAGAAATACTCAAACTTGGCTCAAGGTAATTGATCGATAAATGATCGCAAGACATTTATTTAGCCTTATTTATGATGTAAACATTTTGGATTTCTTCAAAAAATCAGCTGTACAAATTAATATTGATGTTTCAACTTTTTGGATAAAATAAACACAGACCTGTTACCACAACACATAACTCAGCATTTCAATATTTATTTACGAAATATTTCAAACTATAGCCACACCATATTTTACTGCGAGGTACTGTACGAGAAAGACAGTTATCAATATTTGTTATCTCTCAAAATAACATGATAAAACAGAAATAATTGGTTTGATGCAAAAGACAGAAAACAATAACTGCTGGAAAATAGTAATTAATTTTCATGTGAATATAAGTTTATGACAATAAAGACAGGATCTCTGTGTTGATGTGGTATGGCGACTCGAACTGATGTACGTACGTACGAAGTTCCACGTTGTTACTGACTGACTGACTGACCGACAATAGTCTTTACCTCGATACACTATTGGTTCAACTTGTGTAACTTGTAGTGCCACTAAAACCAATGGATACGTTATTCTAATCAATTTATTGAGAACCAATTAAATCTAAGCACCTCAATTTCTATTTGAACTAAACTTTCTATCAGATATCAATGTTAACTAGCAGATGCTTCGATAACGCGTTCACTTTTAAATAACTTTTAATCTTAAGAATTATAGCCTTACTAGATAAATTATCTTTCATACTTATCACTAAATCATATTGCTCTTCGTCATTTTCTGATTTCGGATTAAATATTCAGAACTTTTCAGAAATAGAAAAGGTACTTGTCTAATATATGCACCGGAATGCTTCATGCTTAATAGAGTAGAAGACAACCTTTTCAGAAGTTTACTTGTATCAATCAGGATATCGTGTATTACGCTGAATCATAGTTTACTTCTAAGTTGTGTATAAAAAGTAACAGACACGTCGATTAGTTTGAAGGATATTATTATCAGTGGATTTATACACGGTTCAGCCCTGAATTTCAAAGCGAAAGTCATTGTAAAAAAACTCCAGCTATACTGGAATAAACTGGACTACTGGTAGGGATCCGTCTTGTGATGTACCTTAGCAACAACTGACATGCACTTCTGGTCACAGTAGGTGAATACTCAAACAAGATATAGTAACGTTCCACATTTAATTTTCTGTAGGGATGATATTGCACAATTTAAAAGTAAACTTATAATTTGGCAGCAGTTACCATAAAATTGTTGTCGGTGATATTCCTGTTACTGTTTGCTCCTGTGATAGCGTTTACGTAGAAAAAATTAGTCAATACAAAGAATACAAACATGTAGACTGTGGCTTACGACATACTGGAATGACTTCTTTTTCTTCAATAAATACATTTTTTTAAATCACAAGCTTGTGCTTAGATCATTTTGCACCTCAAAAAAACATGCAGGAATATTAAGTGTAAAAAATTATTTATACGACTAAAATAGGTAGGTCTTATCCCTAGATTTGTAATGTGATATTATGTATAGCGTTTGTCAACAGCAAGTATAAGTGGCGGTTTTTAGAAGCCTAAACGGTTTTATTAATTTTGAGACAAAAGAAAGAAATTGATAAAGTAGTTTAAGTGGTTCCCGAACAGATTATTATCGTACAAGAAAATACTCCGAAAACGGTTTGAGTTAGTTTTAGAGTCATTTATAAATGTGCTATTATACAAAATGAAGGGGATGTCAGGACAATGTGATGAACTTACACATTTTTTGTAAAGAAGAACTAAGTTTGGGCACTTGAGCTACTATTAAGTAATAGGAACTACTTTTTAATAAGTTTTGGCATCTATGTTTCTTTAATTTAGTCAAAAATGATAGTTATCTGAGCAACTGTCATTAAATAGTTTAGCTTGAAGTAATATTTATGCAAGCGCATTAACTAATCACTTTATTTATACACATAGTTCCGTTTATCATTTTGAAAAGAGCAAGAACAAACATTCTAGCAGAATAGCATGAATTCATTTTTATTTCGTTGGTTCTCGTCAGCTGCTTACAACCTGTGATATTTAAAATTATAATTACATAATGGGTTTAAATTACTGACATGAAAAAGTTTGATTGGAAGTTATATTGAAGACACATTCGTATAGTATAGCAAGGGCGTAAATAAATTTAATAGACTGAATATTGTAAATATATACCTTATATAAAAGAACATTGTGACAACGGTTCAAAGGGCTAGAAACAAGTAAACATTGATAGGAAAAAAAATGAGTAGAGTTCAGTTGATAAAAATAAGATTACAGATTTTTTTGGAAGATAGTTGGAATAAAACTCAATGATGTGATAAGTGCAAGAAAGAGTTCAAAGAAAACGAAAAAAAAAATTGAGATACAGCGAAGGAATATTAGTCACCAAGGCAAGGAAAGATTAATAACCATCTCCTTTTGAACACATAAATCAGGTTTTTGGCGTCTGATAGCAACTGCTTCAGCAAACTTCAGAAGACTGGAGTTTGGCTGCTTACTAATCACCTTGAACGATTGTAGGGTATCGACCTGATGTCCTGTATCAAGGAGATGTTTGGTGATTGCACTATTTAATGTCTTTCTTTCTCTTGTTCTGAGGCTTTTTGACACATGTTCAAAAAATCTGAGATATGCCCTCCTTTCTGTTCGGCCGATGTAGCTGCTTTGGCAGGTACACGTAAATTTATAAATACAATTGGCGGTAACATGAAAAGGATGCTTATCAACCTTTGATTGAGTTATTGAACATGTTGTTTTATACAGAATTAGAAGTTTGGCCGCCGGATAAGTTCTGGCTAGCGCAGTATTCAGTCTCCTGTTGATTGTGTTTGCAACATCATCACCTTTGAAGTTAAGATTTATAGTTATTGGTTTCTTATTAACCGTAATTACTTCAGTATTGTTTTCTTTACGCTTTTTATATTTGTCAATAAACTTTTGTGGGTAAAAGTTGTCTCTTAGGCATTTTTCCACGTTCATCAATTCTTCTTCCAGTCTGTCAGTGGTACATATCCTTTCTGCCCTATGAAATAGTGTTTTAACTAATGCCTTCTTGTAACTGAGTGGACAAAAACTATTGAAATTCAGGTAAAGGCCGTTCCAAGTACTTTTTCGATAAAGTGAACGTTGGACTGTCCCATCTCTCCTACGTTTTATAGCAACATCAAGAAAGTGGAACGTGTCATTCTGTTCGTGTTCCATAGTAAATTGTATGTCAGGATGAGCGTTATTGAAGAGTTTTAGCAAGCGGATTGCATGCTGTTTATTGTTACAGACAATAAACGTGTCATCAACATATCTGGAATATTCCGTCGTTTCGGTTAATAAGAAACCAATAACTATAAATCTTAACTTCAAAGGTGATGATGTTGCAAACACAATCAACAGGAGACTGAATACTGCGCTAGCCAGAACTTATCCGGCGGCCAAACTTCTAATTCTGTATAAAACAACATGTTCAATAACTCAATCAAAGGTTGATAAGCATCCTTTTCATGTTACCGCCAATTGTATTTATAAATTTACGTGTACCTGCCAAAGCAGCTACATCGGCCGAACAGAAAGGAGGGCATATCTCAGATTTTTTGAACATGTGTCAAAAAGCCTCAGAACAAGAGAAAGAAAGACATTAAATAGTGCAATCACCAAACATCTCCTTGATACAGGACATCAGGTCGATACCCTACAATCGTTCAAGGTGATTAGTAAGCAGCCAAACTCCAGTCTTCTGAAGTTTGCTGAAGCAGTTGCTATCAGACGCCAAAAACCTGATTTATGTGTTCAAAAGGAGATGGTTATTAATCTTTCCTTGCCTTGGTGACTAATATTCCTTCGCTGTATCTCAATTTTTTTTTTCGTTTTCTTTGAACTCTTTCTTGCACTTATCACATCATTGAGTTTTATTCCAACTATCTTCCAAAAAAATCTTTAATCTTATTTTTATCAACTGAACTCTACTCATTTTTTTTCCTATCAATGTTTACTTGTTTCTAGCCCTTTGAACCGTTGTCACAATGTTCTTTTATATAAGGTATATATTTACAATATTCAGTCTATTAAATTTATTTACGCCCTTGCTATACTATACGAATGTGTCTTCAATATAACTTCCAATCAAACTTTTTCATGTCAGTAATTTAAATCCATTATGTAATTATAATTTTAAATATCACAGGTTGTAAGCAGCTGACGAGAACCAACGAAATAAAAATGAATTCATGCTATTCTGCTAGAATGTTTGTTCTTGCTCTTTTCAAAATGATAAACGGAACTATGTGTATAAAATAAAGTGATTAGTTAATGCGCTTGCATAAATATTACTTCAAGCTAAACTATTTAATGACAGTTGCTCAGATAACTATCATTTTTGACTAAATTAAAGAAACATAGATGCCAAAACTTATTAAAAAGTAGTTCCTATTACTTAATAGTAGCTCAAGTGCCCAAACTTAGTTCTTCTTTACAAAAAATGTGTAAGTTCATCACATTGTCCTGACATCCCCTTCATTTTGTATAATAGCACATTTATAAATGACTCTAAAACTAACTCAAACCGTTTTCGGAGTATTTTCTTGTACGATAATAATCTGTTCGGGAACCACTTAAACTACTATATCAATTTCTTTCTTTTGTCTCAAAATTAATAAAACCATGACCTCCCTTGAGATTTCAAGGAGTCATGGAGTAGATGGGATCGCATCTATGTACTTCAAGTGTGGCGAACTTGACACTTCACCACTTTATATACAACTGTTTAGGCTTCTAAAAACCGCCACTTATACTTGCTGTTGACAAACGCTATACATAATATCACATTACAAATCTAGGGATAAGACCTACTTCAATAATTTTCGCTCCATAAATATTGTCCACTTGTCTCTAGGGTAATGGAAAAAGTTGTTTGTAACGAAATTTCCAACTATTTATTTAATAAAAAGCTTACCATTAGCTCTTAACATGGCTTACTCAAAACTAGATCTATGCTATTTCTGATTGACTTCCATATAATCTATATGCAAAGTAGTCTGATGAATCTGGTTTAGAGCTATGCCTCGAGGTTTCTAAAGCTTTTGGCATGGTTAATCATCGATTTCTTATGTTCAAACTCATATCTTACAGAACTAGGCACTACCTATTTGCCTGACCTAGTTCTTTTTTTCAGTCACAGGAACCAAACAGTTAAAATAAAGCCCTCCGTTTCAGTTGATATTCCGATTTTATTTAAGATAATATAAGGTATTCTATCCTCACCTTGCTCCTTTAAACTTATAAAAATGATACCTGGAATCGTTCTGGTAAGGACAAATTTTTTTCTCTATGAAGCTGATCTTAAAGCAGTATATTTATTTTCTCTGAACAAGATTAAAGCATATCCTAAACTGTGTAAATATGGAATTCAATAAGGTTGCCATGTGGTGCTCGAAATGGAAGCCGGAGCTTGGCACAGCTAATTACAGATGGAGTCGCTCAATTTTGAATTAATCAAAAAAAACAGTAGAGTGTTTTCTAGGTTTAGTAGAGTGTTAAACTTAGGACTCTCACAAACCGTCCTTCACAGGACAGGTTTCGACACAGACTTCTAGGTCTCGACGACTCCTGGGTGGCATACTACGTAACCTCCAGAACAATGACTCATGCATTTAGGTGAATAAAGTATCTGATCGACCATTTCTAGAACATTACACTTTTATTCTGAGTAACTTTCGCATAAAGAATTAACTTCATTCGTAATTTATTGAACGACAATTCACAATTCTCATTCTTGGGAATGGTTGTATCTTAACTACAAATCCAGATGCATAGGACTTGAACTTACCTCTTTGTGAAAGCGAAGATTCGAAACAAAATTTAACATTTTTCTTTAAAACATTAATAGTATCCAATGTTTCGATCCAATATGCAGAAACACCTAGTTACATTACTTGTAACTCTAAGGAGACAGTCAAAATGTTTCATTATAACACTACTCTTTTTATGAATCACATGGCAAATGGATTTTTGAGACTGTATTAACTAGGCACAATCTGTTTGTGAAATAAAATTGCTACCATCAGTTGATCACTACATTTATGGCTATATATACTGTAAAATTGCCTTAATATTACTTGCACCTATGATTACATGTTATTCTATTAGAAGGATATTAAATGTCGAATCATTCTTCTATACCGAACATACTTATTAATCTTACCTATTCTTAGCCATTTTAAACCCTCATTATCCTTGATTAGTTTAATTAATTTAAACAAAATTAATCCGAATCAGTAGATCGTAAAGCAACTTAACACTAACAACCAAACTATTACAGTATTTTTTGTTGCTGTCAGTGGATTTTCTGTTCTCATTTTTTTCTCAAATTGTAGATGACTATGATTACTTTGTATTGGCACCGGAAATAACCTTTTTTTTATGTATAAACAGGAAGAATTAATGGTCTCTAACTTCTACCTCACATCGTTGTAATCCTGGTGACCAATGCCCACTCAAAACGACTAATAAATCTTATTACTTCAAACTATTTAATCTTATATCTTAACCCTTTACGTGTAACATTTTTGTCTAAATGAACTTCATCCTAAATATAAATTGACAGGAATTCTGTAGTTATTTCCAGAATATATATAAATATACATGTAATGATTATTACCACTGCTCTTTTCAGCTAAGACTATAGTTTACGAAACTGTTGGTTTATTGAGTTCAAACAACTGCCTTTTGCAAAACCATATATGAATGAGCTAACACTTTTTAATCATAAACGATCACGTTGATTACGTCTTTGCTGTTTCTGTCAATTTATCGGAAATTCTGGGTCCTGGATATAAAATATATGGGCACATATCAAAAAGATTGATCTGTAACCATAGTGTAGTTTTTAATCCATAACATATATTTAGAACAAATGATTGTGATCTTAAAGCTCAAAGAATTTTCCGATGTTCAGATGAATACCTGGTTGTATGATATATGTAATGAAATTATTTAGAGTAGGTGATCAGTTTCCCATTACTATGGCCTACGTTACTTAGTAAGGTCAATAGCCATCTAAAATGATCCTCATTTATCACAAAAATATCACATTCTATTGTGAGAACTTGACTTAGATACCACATTTTACATATGAACTTTATCAGTGACACAAATAAAAGTTTATGATTGGTTGATGTCTAGCTACAGACGTATGAAACATATTCTTAGTAAATTCCATAGGTTATCCAAACTGATAAAATTGTGTAATTAAACATGATACTACTAAACTTACTACTTCCGGCGTCACTTGCAGCTGCAAATGCTCCTAATGCTGATGTTTGAGCAGATTCTTCTTTCAATGGTTGACGAAAAGCTGTTAAATCTCTGAACGTAATAAGAAATAACACTACCAAATCTTCATCATTACGAATTGGAATTATTTCGACCAAAATGCATAATGGAGTCACTTGAAGAATAATAAAAATGACAACAAATAAAATTAATTTATATATGTGTTTTTTGAAATGATAATTATTCCATGTTATCTCTATTTATTTTGCTCATATTTGCTTCATTTATTCTTTGTAAAAGAATGATATAATTAATGCTTAAGAAGTCGATGCTAAGACCTTACTACATAATTTAATTATTCTAATCATTGAAGAAAGCAAGAATAGTTTGTAAGAAAAATCACTGATCCAATATAAAAGCCATAGAAGTTCATTATGTACTATTCATCCTTTGTTTCCATTTATTGAAATTCCTAGATCACGAGGGCTTACATGAATTAAAGAACTAATTTTAGTATAAATAATATTCAAATATAATTTATCTGACATATTATATTAATGGGCCGCAAATGTTTTATTAAAGTTAGATAAAATGTGGTCAGTTAGGTACATACTACTGTGTGTTCATCAAAAAGTAGTTGATTATTCAAATTAAACAATAGTGATTAATGTCAGTAAATTTTGTTTAAGAAGTTTCCCCTTAGCAATACTTAAGAGCGTTTACTTAATGGTATCATATTCTTGTATAGCTTTTCAACTTTACTTGCCGTGTGTTATTGTAGACTAAAATGCATCTAACATGTATTTAACACTGCACTGCTGAGGAGTCCACAATAGGACGAAATGGCCATCCAGTTCTTCCAGGTTTCCCATGATGGTCTAGTTTCAATGGACTCATGATCTCAACTATTGAAATTACTATAACTCAGTGTATTTCATTAATAGTCTCTCATAAAATTCAAAGTTCTAATCTCCGTGTTTAAGTAAATATGTCTTAATATAGAACACTACATATTGTTTTAATCGAAGTATATATGCCAAGCAGAATTTATTTTTGTTTTTTACATTCAATTATAATGCACATACTGTTTTGTATAGACTTACAATTCTTTTTGTACAAAATTACTTCAACATGTTCGGATTTTTGTTCTTTAAATGCATTTTCTAGTGTCGTTATAATTGATTTATCTGTTTGCGGTCCATGAAGAAATGGACAAAGACCAGGTTTTTGCATTACTTCAATACGACCAAATTCAGTGAGATTTGTGAATCCATTACTAACATATACAATAGGAAAGTCTAATATACGTGCATTACTGAGCAAAAAACAGGAATCTATGAGAGAAAAAAATAAATGGGAGATTACTTGATTTAATGAGAAAGATATTGTCTCGTGTTAAATTGAAAATAAAGTCAGATGAAGCGGGAATCTCGGAGTATTCAAATAATCATAAAAAGGACTCATCAGCTTTCGCAAATCATTTGCTAATCAGAGACAAAATTAAATCGTTATCATGGTGAGTTTGAAATCTCGAGGGAACTGAGATTACATATGGAATCCTGACTCGCTTTATCTAGCTCTACAGTCTGAAATGTTATTATTAAGTCATTTGACCTTGGATTGACCTTCTGTGGGCGTGAAATATATACAATAAGTGGATCACACTATGGTGAACAATGTCGTAATTGTCTAGTTCATTATCGCTGACTCTCGAAATCTGTTCTGAAGATTGTTTTTGTGACCATTTTAGTAACTAAAGTATCATTACAACTACTTTAATGAAATAACATATCATTTTACCAGCTATACATATGAGTTTTTCCCTATTATTTCATAACTGATTATGTTTATTTGTAAATATGAATATGCCTGAGTAGAAAACGAATAAATAAATATATACTTGCAATGTATAATATTTGATTCTTATCAATGGCAGAATAATATAAGCAAAATAAAATAATCAAGCTTTATATATGTACCATCAATTCAGTTGTTTGTTTGATTTTCTGGAAAAAATACATTCTTAAATCCTTCTATAAACTAATACTGACATGAATGTAAATAAATGTAGCTATGACAACGGTAAACATTTATGTTTTTTTATATATTTGTACGAAATGCCGTGTAATGAATGAACTACTCATTGTCTTTATTTGTTCATTGCAAAGATTTTTATTCATCTTCCTTAGATTGTACTGGTTTTCATTCTTGATAAAAAGAACCTTTTTGTATTGCTTTTCAATATTTTGAGTGAATAAGTTTTAACGAAACAACCGATTACTTTTGTTTTAAACAAAACAAAATCTGTTGATAGACATTGAATAGAAGTATGATTTCCGCTTTTACTTATATATATATATATATATATATATATATATATATATATTCTAATAATGGGATAATTAGGATTCCTGTGAGATCGATGCACAGTTATCCAAATACTATTAACTAATTATCATCCTATCAGATTCTGGACATGGCTAACTTTTCTAGTATTTGTGATTATGTAAATTTCAGATGAATCATTATATGCACATCGTGTTTAGCACAGACTCGTCGCAGTATCAAATCACTCATCAAGACTCATAATCCACTTCTAAGAATTTAAAAACAAGGACGAATCAATTAATAAAATGCTTTGTGCTTTTAAGTAGGTTTCTAACTGATGATGAATCGCATTAAAAATTAATTTATATAGTTTTCGGAAATTTAAGCTACATTGTATTCGAGCTTATAGATAGTTTCATAAACATGATACGATCATCTAGAACATTATATGTATATAAATGAGATCCAGAAAACTATTCCATCTTGAGTTGCTACTACAGATTGATATTTTGATTATCAAATCAATATTAATAAAGGTTTTGCCTAATTGTCTACACTTTCAAATCCCGTCTTGAAAAGAGCGCTATTTGTTTTAAGGACATACACTTCAATAGTTTAATAGTCAGTGACAAGGTTTAATTGAGAACTCATAGGTGATACACTATGAATATAGATTTAATAAAAATAAAGAAATATAAAGGTTATTATTACAGTCATTTATTTATTTACTGACATATTGAAACATCGCAAAAATGGGCTCTGAGAAAGATACTAATTACAAACTAAACTTTCACCTGAATGAGAAGAATCCTAAATCCTAGCCTTTGTGTACATACCTCAAAAATTTAGTTCCTTATACAATACTCATAGGGTTTATTTTTAGTTATTTCCAGTTAACTACCTATCATGACTATAAACTTATTTATTGTGTTTATGATTAAGTTTTAAGTTTTAAACATTAGTTATACGAAAAGCTTAGTTAAATAGAACAGGATATATTAAGCAAATGAATACCCAGTGAAAAGTTGATATTACCTTAAGTATAGATTAGAATTATATCTAGTATTTCTGTATAAAACTGTATAGATGGGATAAATTAAAACTTTCCTTTTATTAACACCTAAATATTGATACAAACAACATTATGAAATGTTGCTTTGAAGGCTATTGAGTATTCAATGAATCAATCATTCGAAATGAAAGATTGTTTAAATCGTTAAAATCTGTAATGAACGTTATATATTTATCGTGGAAACAACTTTAAAATAGATACATTATTGCATTAAATATATTTAATTAGTAATATATAGAAAAAAAAAATATATATATATATGAATCATTTCAATTAGCTAATTAAAACTAATTCATTTGTAAAGATTTATATCTTCCCATTGTTGATGTTAAGAATTGAATTTTGATCAATCAATTTCAGCTTACGTTTGTCCTGGGTGAATTACCTTGATATTGTATTTAGACCACAAGTATTTTAAAGAAATATTTGACATATGGCTGGTAGAGGAATTTCATGTTTCATTTTTAAAAAGGAAGTGGAAATTCACCTTCATAGCACAAACCAGGAGTTTTTTAAACTAATTCACTAAATAAATGATGGGTTGGGCACTTGAACTGAAAGAAGTGAGTTATGGTTACTGTATGAGCATCAATATTAGAGTGCAGATAAATCCATCTGAAAGTTCTCAACCAAGACTAGACTCTAAACTACTATCGAATTCGGTTTAGCTAAAAAATATGTTGACAAAATGTGTTGTGTACTCCATAGCTAATAATCATTGAATGATTACTCTTAATCAAGATAGTATGCAATCATAAGAAATAACTCACGTCATGAAATGGGAATAAACTATGATTTTAAAATATCAGCTGTTACAATATGGATGTTAAACAAAATAGTATAAAGAATGAATGTGACTACGGATTGCAAACCACAAAACCATTGAGAATATTTGTTTAATCTAGGCTTTGCTAGTACTATCGTCTTCAATTTTTCTAAAAATTATATATGACCAATACGAGATCAGTTTGTATATAGTTCTCTTCACAAATTAGGATCGATAGAAGAACCTAGATAAATCAGACGACTGGTCTGCACTAGCCTGCGAGTTCCTTAAGGATATGAACTCACCACCTGGATAGGTTGGAACTCAAATGTTTCGAGTTTCTTTGTGATAATTGTACATTTAGACTAATGAATTTGAATCGTGAAGCCTATGATTCCAGTTTCATTCAACTCATGATATGTTATGACTTTTACACTAAATGGTAGCTATTTCAGTTATTACAGCTACCTGGTTAAGAATGGTTCCCTACCTAATACCGATTCATGACAAAAGTATTTTTCTATCAAGCGAATATTTCCATCTGATCTAATCAAGCTTAAATGTTACAGATTACTTGTATAATGTTGAATTAAGTTGAATCACTAAACATTTTAACTATATTTTATTTTATGTAAAATAAGAATAAGAAAAATATAATTTGGGAAATGTTTTATCTTGTTATAATGATAGCATTGAATAGAATGATGACCTGAATTTGCACTGATACAGGTCACCAGGAAATCATACTACATGAAGATAAAGATTAGTTTTAAAACATGAGTTGGTATACAAAGAATATTATTGGATAATATGAATTCAAAGAATTTATCTTATATACGTACTCATACCCTCGACATTGAAATAAGAACGAAGATCTTGATATCTATATAAATATATATAAAAGCTATTTCACCATTGCAAACCTGGAAGAACTGGACAGTTGTTTCGTCGTAGTATGGCACTCCTCAGTGGTGCTCATCTACGATCTTTCATGTAGGACTCGAACCAAGGGCCTTCAGTATCGCACGCAAATGTCAATGTTCTACAAAGATCTTCTAATGGGTAGTAATCAATTTCAAGGCAATTATTCAATGTTACTGTATCAATCAAATTGTAAAAGTAATTTTTCATAGCCAGAACAGTTCACTGGCAACACCTCGAACCAAGACACAACTTTAAATCCCATGGCACTAATCAATTACTTTGAGATTACTTGTGTATTCTAATGAAGAGAGTTTTTTAATATAAAATTGTGATCGGCAAAATTCTGCTAGTTTTTGATAATAAATTAACATCAAGCATAGTGCACCGTGATGTCGAGTCAAATATTCTAGAGGCCAGTTAACAACTTATAAAGTAATTTGTTTCAACAAGTCAAGAAGTGCTTAACTGGTCACAATCCAGTAATCAACTACTAATAATCACTATTTATCATGCTTATTTTAGTCGATAATGGAATATACTTCTTTTAGTAATTCAAATATGCATAGCCTCTGTTGCCAAACTCATTATTTGAATAAATTCTATTGATTTTTTGACAGTTAATATCTATACGATAATTTTAAGTAAACACATTTGTGTGTTAAATAAAGCACCCTTAATAAACAACGAAATATCAATCTACATCAAGTAATAGTAAGTAGTTCTAAGTGAACGTGGACAGTGGCAAGCATTAGAGTTCAGAACTTGAGTTTCGCCCTGAAGTGAGCATAAACACTAGGATGAAGGCACATTTGGCCGACGAGTCCCAAGTAGGACAAAACGCAAGTCCTGAATTCCAATTTCAGATAGTATCCAATTTTACCTGAATACTTGCAACAATATCGACAATATTGACGCAATCCGCACAGGATGTACATATGCTAAAGGAGGCTGATTAAAATTCTGTTCTGAACATCAATAATGGAAAGCTTCAAAAACTTGAAAATAAAATAATCAAAACATTCGCAAGTAATTCACCTTCCCATTGATGTTTTGGTCCAAAATTGATAAGTCTGTTTCGGCACATGTTCATCCTGTGTGTATTGTATCGATATTGCTAATAAGTCGCAGTCATTATAAGGAGAAATAGATGGTGGTTAGCAGTAGGCATACATACTAGTTAACTGAATGGACCCGCATTCCTAACTTGATACTCACCCCTGAACTCAATCTCACAAACTTTCGCT